ACAACCAGTGGACGAATACTCTGGTCAAGACTTGGTAATTCCTAGAGACCTTTAGGTTGCAAATCAGTTTTCCATTAGAGATGGTGAGGACAAGATGACTTGAGGTATTTGTGATGACAAGAACATGTAAAATCAGATAGTGTGATGTGTTTGCATGTGCTGTGTCCAAAAACAGAAAAAGATAAAAAAAAAAAATAGTATCTGGGGAACTTAGTAAGAATTTGTACAGGAACCTGGTGAGTGAAGGACTCAACACCATAACAAGAACTAGTATCTGCTGTTAACTGCCACTTTATAGGTTTTTGTTGGAAGCAGCAACAGTACTGGTTCCAAAAATCATTGCTGAAACACTCAGGAAAAGCAGAACATGTTCACGCTGACTGTCACTACAGTTTCACTGCCACTATTTCAAGCAGCAGAAAGGATTCAGAGAAAAGTTTAGGCAGTAAAAGCATGTAAGAAAGCATGTTCGCCTTGCAAGAAATGAATTCCTGGAGCTTTTAAAGGCCAGATGCATAATTCTGAGGGAGAACAGGCAGGGCAGAGCCTAGCAGTGAAAGTACTAATCCAGAAACCTATCGTGATTCATTTACCAGTTCTTTGGTAAAATAGAACTTTCTGTGATCCATTCTACACGCACGCTTGCTGAGTTTGACAAGAGTCTCTTTACTTTCTCAGCGTCCACAGGATCTGACCTTGTGAACACATAGGTAGACCTGGCTGAAAACATTCCAAAAACCCATCAACTAGAAAAAACCTCTGACAAGTGTCCAAAGGAATCTGCAGAGCTGAGGCAATGGGTATCAGTGCTAGAAGGTACTCCTGAAACTGGCACTAAAAGAAGAAGAAAAAAAGAAAGAGTGAAAACATGAAAGAGAAGAAAATAGCTTGCTATAGTAGAGCCAAGGATATTGGTGCCTGAAGAAATGGCATAAGTTTGCTCTTTGGCATCACTTACACTTTCAGCTGCAATATAGAGGCTACATGAGGAATTTGTGACACAGTATAAAGCCAAGAAGATTCCTCAGTTCCAGCCAATGGTGTCTGCCAGTGCCAGACATCAACAGCAGAAGATACCCCTTTGGGTACACAGTGAGAGAGCCCAAGCCCATCTTGGTATCTTCAGTTGTAATTTAGTTGTTGAATTCTAGCTCCAGCTATGAAGCAGAAAGCTATAGGTGTTCAGAAGCCATATGATCCTGGAACATCTATTAAAAACCTTCAGCAGCAAAGACCAACAAGCTGCATACATAACTGTCCAAGCAAGATTTGCTCTGAAAGAAGGCAACCTCTCTGTTGCCTTATGATTATGTCTCTAACATAATCACAAGTTTGGAAATGGGTCTCAAACTCTCATGGAGCTCTTGGCTGCAGCATCACATCTAAGGTGTTCTCTGATACTATTATATCATTATAATTAGCTAGATTCCACCTAAATGTAAATGTGTGTTCTGTGTTCTCTTCAGCAGAGAAAGAACACGAACAAGGTTCAGTTGAATAAAGGATGACGCTTTGCTTAAGCATGGGCAATGACATCAATCCTTATATGACACTGCTTGCATAACTTGTTGAGTGCTGCTCTTCATCATAGCATTTACCATGGCTCTGTAGCCATGGAAATATTTACCTAATGGTAAGAGACCAGCAGGAAGCTTTAATTTTAGGAAATCTGTCCAGCAGGTGAAATAGGGCTGTTTATCACGTTGCCATTCCTTTTCTGCATCCTCTTTTGGGAGCACTGGTGCTGAGCTGGAGGTAATGTCAGGTTCCTTTCCCCGCCAATGGCAATGAAATTAGGTTGCTGGCAGCCTGACAGGGAGGTGGCAGTACAGAGAAAAGCACGCCAAGCAGACACTTGTAACACTTTCCTGTTTATCTTCTGCATGACTCATAAGGTAACCATCAGTTACTATGATATCCCTGTGCACAATGGCCTGTAATTCCCCCCTAGCTGAATGTGGACAGTTCACATCTGCAAATTACAAAGTGCCAAGCTGGAAGCAGTGCTGGCCACAGGCAGCATCATATCACTACACCAACTCTGCTCCTTAAACTACCTAAATTGTAGTCCTCATTACTCTGGAAAAAAGATTGCTCTCTAGTAGCAGGCACCAGTTTTGTTCCATTGTGTACCAGTAAAAACAGATGCAAGTTAAGTAGCTAGCTAATCTATTTTTATGCATTTGGGTCACTGACACATCTAGAGATTGGGAGAACAGGATAAAAAGCTGGCAGTTCCAAATTTAGTGTCCTTAAATTTTAATTATGGATACTGCATTCTTCATTTATACTGTGATTCAAGATATCAAATAGGGAAAAAAGGTTATGCAGAACATGCCTCATCACAAAATGAAAGGTCTTTTTTTTTGTGATACAACAGATGTGATACAACCAGATACAACAGACTGATGTAACCTAGCTACCCACTGTGGGACAGAAGATTTCAAGAGAACACAAGAGCTGACTCCAACATATACAGTAGGAAAAAAAAAACATTGGACTGCTGCAATCACTGACAAGTATTTGAACTTAACTCACGCTCAGATTTCAGAAATGCAATTAACCCCTACCAAATACCCTAAAATCAAGCAAGCTATATCCCAGCTAATAGTCTACAATGCATTGTTCACAACATGTGAGTACCAGACAACGAAGATGCTGGTTACAGTGCCAGAAATAATATTTCCAGCAAAATATTATATGTAAAGTTGAAGTAATTATATGGCATGGTAACAGAAAGAGCTGCATAGTTTACAGCTGAGATGAAACTCTGTAGGAATCAATTTCAAAAAAAGACTTTCAAAGCTGGAGCAGTATATAAGCATTAAAGGATCAAGCACATTTCTTCACTGCATATCACTGAGGAATATACTTTGCCTTTGCTATACAATTCTAATACACACACCATATATAACTACACTGTAACCAAGACAGCAGACAAAGATGTACTAAGGGAAAATGTCCTTTGGTATTTATTCAAGAGAAAGCAGTTTATAAAACATTATTTGTAATACATAAAACAATCGCAAAAGCCCTTTAAGTTCATGATTTTACAAGCTGCCACTTCTCTTTGCTCTTTGTACAGAACTCCTCTTTCTCTCTGTACAGAAATCAAAATGAGAAAAAAGACAGGCATTGAAGAGTGCATTTGGAAAAGTACACAGCCACAAAATCATTAAGAAGAGGGAGAAAAATAAAAAAAGAGTTCCAAGTCAAAGATAAAGCGCCAGGTGACTTCAGTGGAAGGCAATACCTGGCTCACTATGACACAAAATGAAATAAAGCACTGCCATTCTGCTAGTATGCATCAGTTTGCTTGTATCTGCTCCACAATACAGATTTCAGTTGCCACTGAAAATTCACTTAAATTAATGATTCCATAGTTATCACTCTCACAGACAGTAATGAACCTTAAGTGAACCAGTGCGGACGTATTCAAAGCTGTTTCATTTCTGGAATACCTTGGTAACTCTAATCTAGGTATTATAATGGCTATTGACTTGCTCAAACTTAGATTATTAGGCTAGATTTTCAGCTGGTTGAACTGGCATGGCTCCAATGATGTCCATTTACACCAACTGGCTCATTATTAATTCAAGGTCTTATTTGCTCCTCACTGAATACTTCCAATAGTCATCTTCCCAGTGGCAGCTTGAAATGCTCACTAGTTACCTCCACAGTCAGAATCATCATACTCAAAAAGTTGGTTATGAAAACATAATGCTTTTTCTCTCCTTTTATGAGACACACTTAATGAAAACTTCCAAAATCATTTACTTCCAAAATCAACTAAAATACTTTCTGTATTATAATTAACTAAATAGAATTATGCTCTCATGCAGCATCATTTGCATATAAATATAAAAACATTACAACCCTAAGGGGACATTAAGGACAAAACCAAACAAGAACGGAATTAAATAGCTAAAGGGGCATCACAGCCCCTCCTTAACAAGCCTCCTATATCTGTTCTTTTTTCTTACTTAATGTTATTTCTGTCCTTACCTATTCATGTTTATTTTCCTTCTTTATTCTGTTGCTTTAAGGTTTTATATGTATTTTAAGGATGTTATTTGTTTTGGTCTTTTCAGTTTTGAAATGCTATTTGTGCCCTTGTGTATAGGATACAAACCTGTCACTAAGTTTGTGTATCTTCCTTTAATACCCTACAGAGGCCAGAAGCAAAATTGGCTGAAAATACAAGAGTTTTCTCAGCCATTGACACTCAAGCCTTCAAAAGGACTTCAAAAATTTTAATTGTACAGTTTTTCAACCAGAACTTTTTAACATCACTTATTATTTCAGAGGAACAGTTAACTGTCAAACACACACAAAAAAACCAACCACTATTTCTAATTACTGTTGTTACTAGTATCAAATAATTTACTTCAAATACTTAAAAAGATATTTAGGAACTGGATGAAACCTGATTATATCAGTGAGGCCCTGAGGTACCTTAGTGACAGGCTCAGTAATTCAGCTCACATGTGGGAGGTAAGGAACTTTATTCTACACTATAGTGTCAGGGGAAAATATCCTTCAAAGTGGCTGCAATAAAAATGATTTGCTCAGTAAAACAAACTGGTATTCCACACAACTGTCAATCTGACTCTGACATTTCTAGTAAGTAGGTGTACCTAAATTACATCTGAGTAACTCAGAAAAATTCCACTCAATTAATGTATGTACATATTTGATTCTGAGTACCTCTTAACATAAACTTTCAAATACCTAACTTAATTCAAATCTTTTTGATTTAACTGTACCAAGAAACGCCAATTAAGATTTAGACATGGATATCATACGAGCTACACAACTGGCAGGAAATGCTTTTCACCGTGGAAAGCTTATAATAATCCTGTGGAATAAGGATTTATAATTAGGCAAGTATTGATTTTTTCCTTAACAGCTGAGCAGGCCACTAGGATGCTCTGAAATCACCATGACATTGCCAATCAAATGCATTTGTGCGTATCTAGCGAAAGAAAGTTACCACGTACCTGGAATAAATCCCACTGACCATGTTGTGCTGGAAAGAGAGCTCTGCTTTGCTGGGTCCAGCAGCTTTGGAAATAAGCAATACAACCAAACCTCGCATCTGTAAATTATTTCGACTATCATACACAAAACCCCTGCAAAAAAATAAAAATAAAAAAATTAGAAAAGCACATCATTTACAATCCATTTTCACTGCTTATGACAAAACAGAAAGAAAGACTTAGATCTCGAGCTCCCCTCATTTCTCTAAGTCTTTAATAACCATGTTTGCATGAAAATAAGCTGTAATTATTAATCACAAACTTTTGTCACCCTTCACCTGTAACTTACTGTGAAATATTACTACTGCAGAGCAAATTGAGTATTCAGGATTAAATGTCATTTATTTCCAAAGGGTAACACAAGTCCTGTGCTTCATATGATGTCGCAAAATATATATATTTATATTCTTTCTATCCTTGTCAAAGTTGCTTTCTAGTTCCTATGATCACCAGTAAGGCTAAATAGCTACAAAAAAAGGATAATATATCCCAGATGCTATTAAATCTGTAAACTGCTTTCCAGAAGGAGCCCTTATCTCCAATATAATTTAAATATTTGCTGAATAGATAAGAATTACATCACAGATTACTAAGTGATCCAACTCACTTTGTCCCATTGTGTAATTTTCGCCCTAATCACTGAAGAAAATCAATCCAGACCAGTCTGTAAAGCAGCTAACTGACAGGATAGGATGCCTATCTTGGAAGTGCATTTGAATAAGTAGAACATTGTGTGCAAGCTGAAGGTCCATTTGGATTTTTTTCTCATAACGTTTACACCACTTCACAACACAATAATATCTTCGATACACTATTTCACTTATGCAGACATGTAAATATATATAAAAAAAAAAGTAATTTAAATATCCTTCCACATGAAAGTTCACGTGCTACTGCAGATAACCACTCCACTTCTTTTGTCAGTCTTCCTAACTATTCCCACAGTGACAGAGCTGACCTCGTGCCTCCAAAAGCTCAGTGCAGAACAAGCTGGCTCAGGCGGCTGGTGCTGGGTGAGCCTGGCCCCACATGGCCATGATCGCAGCACCATGCACAGCTGTGGTGTGAGGGAAAGCTTCCAAGAGGAATGCACACGGTCATGGCTTAAGACAGCTTCAGAGTTTGGTTCAAGTGAGTTTTAAGAACCAATGTGGTTCACAGTCGCAGCTGAAACTTGGCCAGGTGCAAGCATCAGCCACCAGTCTTAACCTTCAACAGTGCAATTCCATGTTAGCCTCTTAATAGGGCAATAAAATGAAAATGGCAATTCACACAACTGTAAAGATGGTGAAGGATCTAGCAATATAAGATATGCGAGGGGTGGCTGCAGTTCCTGTGTTTGCTCAGCCCAGAGCAGAGGAGCGGAGTAGAGCCCTCATGGCGGCTGCAGCTCCTCACAGCAAGCAGAGAGGCAGCGCTGAGCTCTGCTCTGTGTAACAGCAACAGGGCCCGAGGGAACGGCATGGAGCTGCGTCTGGGAAAGGGCAGGGGGGTTAGGAAGAGGTTCCTCACCAGAGGGCGGTGGGCATGACCCTGAGTGCAAGGAACACTGGGACAGTGCTCTTAGACATAGGGTTTGGTTTGGGGCAGTGCTGTGTGGAGCCAACAGTTGGACTTGGTGGTCCTTGTGGATCTCTTCCAACTTGGGACATTCTGTGATTCTGTGAACACGTTACCTTGCTACCTTATAGCAAATCATAAACTAATCAAAATGTTTCTGTAAATTAGGAGAACATGGGTAATCACTATTTCTGTGGGAGACTAAATTCAGCACAGACATCAGTATTTAACACGAGACTCAACTTTCTGAGGAAAAGCCCCCTCACAGCCATCAGCTCTCACTTCTTCCATCCACAAAGATCCTTTAAAAAAACTGAATATAGCAGCGTAACAACTGCTGAAAAGAAGATGCTGTACAGCTTCCCAGAGCAGACAATGATTTCTCTTTGTAAACCACTCACGCAGTGCTTCCCAACCATTGAAAGCCAGGAAAGCTTACCCGGCTCAGATCAGTTCCTAAGACACAGAGCAGTACTGCAACATACAACCTTGTTTTGCTCACCAGGTATGTATGGGGAGGGATTTTAAAGAGGAGGAGAAAGCTGCTTACCATTAGCATCCTGCGAATTTTCACCCTACATACCTTCATTCCCACTAAGCACACAAAGAATGGCTATTCTTACCACGCTCAAATATATAGCTTCTCTGGTTGAGCTTCAGCTGACCACATTACTTACAAGCAAACAAGTTACACAGCTGATGCAACTAAGTACAAATAGAGTCCTCATATTTCCTCAACACTTATTACAATTCCATCGCTAAAAAAAAAAGTGACTTCAGGAAAACAAATAGACATATTTTTTTTTACCCACATACATATACTGGTAAAACAAGAGTGCCTGACACAATATATGCAGGATCCCAAGAGAAAAGAGTAGTGTTGTTTTGTTTTGTTAAACAAAACATAACATAACAAATTTTGCTGATACTTTAAGTCAGAATGCTTTGGTTTTCCATGCTCAGCGCTCCATGGTTTTCCAACAGACACATTATTACAGAAAGAAGAAAACTGTCCAGATCACCACAAGACTTTAAAGCAGAAACCTTTAAACAGGGCACTGCCCAGAGGGACACTGTGGAAATGAAGTGCTGCAGTGCTTTTAACTTAATAAAGCTTAAGTGAAGAACAAGAGATAATTACCTGTAGTGAAACAGATTCATAGCAATAAGGAAAACAATTGCTTTAGAGCTGTTCTGGGGGGTTGCAACCATGCTCAAAAGAATGCCTTGCATTTTTAGCAGAATGTTATTAATGAGAACTGCAGATGTGGGTGGGGGAAGAACAGGACATAAAAATTACACAGTGTAATAGTAAGGAGCAACACGTCTGTCATTTCTACACCTAGTCATATAGGCTAAATCCAAATCCATATGGTTTGAATGCAATTTTAGACAGAATTTTCTATGAATTACCAGACCCATATTCAAAGTCTTATTCCCTTCAAAACATAACTGAAGCTGTGTTACTGACATGTAACATATCCGTACTAAAGCAAACCGCAGGAGACTTGAAACAAATAAAGCCTACGGTGATCATCCTTTAGAGGCTGGAAACTACTGCAGCTACTTGACATGGCTTCAGGGGTCACATTCACATTCAGAATTAAGCTCCCAAGAGATATTCTGCACAAGTAACAGCTACACAAAAGTCTTCCAGATGGTGCAATTAGTCTTGATGGGTATGTGGCAGGAGACAGGTGCCTCTAGGGAAAAAAAAAGTGAACTAAAAGCTACCCAAGTGAAATTGTGCACACAGAAAAAAAAAGATGCTTCCAGCTCAGACTCTTTTAGAAAACCTCAGCTGAACACAAGTGTTCATGTACATGCACAGTGTAGCTTCCCTCCCTTCTCCCCCCCTCAAAAAAAGAAAAAAGCAAAAAAACCAACAATAACAAAAAACAAAAAAACAAAAAAACAACCAAAAACAACCAGGAGTGTAATTTTGCTTGCTTGCTGTGGAGTTACAGGCTTGGTATCTTGCAAATAACATATTACGTCTTCAGGGGACCTCATGTCAAAAGAAGTAGGTAAGCAAACACTGCGACAATTCAGTTTTGCAAAACGTTGTGAATTTCAGGGGAGGTGTGGAGTGAGCATGTACTCGAGATATTATCCATGTGATAGAATAACCCGTCCAAAAACGCAGATTCACGGTTTTAAACAGAGTATTGTTCACAAAAATTTAATCTGAAAGCACAGGGGAGAAGAGCCCAGCTCTGAAACATGCGCAGTGTGACACCATACAGACACAAGAGACTCACACCACCCACTCAAGCAATGACACTGGCTAATAGCTAATGTGCTGCAAATTACACCTCCTACTACCAGAGTCCTCTGCTGCAGCGAATAAATCAAGCAAACACAAGCATTTCCCTTAATGCTTTGTGTATTTTTCCACATGTGCAGCCATTTCAGTACATTCTGCAGTTAAAATGCTAACCTCCAATAAGTGTCAGGCTTAACTCCTGCATTAATTTCCGTTTCTATAAATAAAGAAATAAGTAATAAACAGAGTGCTGATTGCAAGCTCCACTCCTACTTTTGAGCAATGTTGATTAAATACCGTGAAGATTTAAAGTTATTTGCATTATAGCAGGTCCTCAGACAAATACAGCTAATGCTCTCACCATTTTTTTTCATTACATCATACCCAGAATTTAAACTATAAGAAACATGCAAAATAGAGTGGTGACTGTAAAGAAGAGGTGGATGTGGGTGAAATATGGGAGGGGAAAAAAGCCACAGCCAACTATAAAATCAACTGAATGAATGTGGATGTGTAAGAGATCAAATCCATATGCAGGAGTGCTAGTTCCAACTTAATCTCTAAGAACACAGGAAAAAAAGATCTAATTAAAACAGATATGATAAGGTATTTTACAGTGGTCAGAAAGAGAGTTGTTAAATGTTCAGTCCAACATTTTTTTCTGTTTTCCAAATGCTCTGTTCATTGCCAATGCAAAAACGCCAGGCTCTGTCTGCAGCCCTCCCATTAGTTAGCCAGCAGGCCCCCAGGGTGACCTTCTCTCACAGCCCAGGTGGGTGCTCCGATCGCTGCCCTGATGGCTGGGGGCTAAGTGAACAAATGGCTGCTCTTCTCTTCTCTTTTGGTGATTCTGCCCTTTCCGCACATTTTATTGATGGTGTCCCACTGACAGAATCGTTCATTTTGGTTTGGGTCATATCTGTTTATTTACACGGGGATGAAAACCAGGGAAAGACACTGGGTGCTGAGCAGCCATTCCTCAGCCTCCCCCACACAGATGTTGAACAAAAGGAAGGGAAAAAATCACCTTTTTCTCACCGTTTACACAGCACTAATAAAAAGCAACTGGAAAAGGACCATAACAACCACAATCAATTATGCTGATAAAAAAAGATTTATAAAGCTGGGATAATGTCTTTGAAAAACACAGGCCAGTATTAAGCTGAAATAAAAACTGTTCTGAAAAAGAAACATCTCAATTCTACCTGACAGTCTCAGATGTGACAATATAAACACAGTTTAAATCTGTAACACCTAGGGAAAGTAA